TACTAATGTAGTGCCGTGCTTCAATAATAGTTTACTTCGTTAACCGTTATTATACCAATCTTAACGGTGTATAATATCAGAAGGCAAAAGGAAGCGGCAACTACATATTTATTGATGAATGATGCAGACCAGAAAGTTGTAAGCACATGAGCAAATGTAAGGGAGCGAAACAAAGATGATGCATAGTGGAGATGGCTGGGGAGCCAACTCGCTAAGAGCAAGCATTACTCAATATTTATAATCAGACAAAAATCAATGACAGACATATGATGAATAGGATACGAAGGGAACACATATACGCTCATATATAAATACAGTCAAGTTTAATAAGCGAATAATTAACAAGACCAATATATGACTCATGACAGGCGAATTGTCTTGGCCAGTAACTAAAATAAAGTATATGGGCTTAACATAACAAACGATACTACACTAAGACTTCTTTTCTTAATTTATGCAAACAACCTTTAAACTCTGACATGACGCATTACTTTTCGTTGACGATATGGAACTCTTAGTAGAACTGTGGACAGATTTATGTCCGACGAATTTTCAAAAAGTTCAGTATCTAAAAAAATTAAAACTAACTGATAGCTCGAGAGAATAATTGTTAGTTACCGATATTCAGTGTTAAATAATTTGGATCTAGACATAATTCAGTGATTTAAAGCAATTAGTCCCTTTGATAAATTTCGATAGTGTAATAAGAAGACGAGGATTATCAGAACTATGTGATGATATATTAGTGCAATACATTATTATTATTATCCTTGTGCACTCTTATCCCGCCCATTTCCGGTCTAGTTGACGTTTTATTTTTATATATAAATGTTTTTAACAAGTATATATGTGATCAGATTGTTCTAAATGTATTGCACTAATATATCATCACATAGTTCTGATAATCCTCGTCTTCTTATTACACTATCGAAATTTATCAAAGGGACTAATTGCTTTAAATCACTGAATTATGTCTAGATCCAAATTATTTAACACTGAATATCGGTAACTAACAATTATTCTCTCGAGCTATCAGTTAGTTTTAATTTTTTTAGATACTGAACTTTTTGAAAATTCGTCGGACATAAATCTGTCCACAGTTCTACTAAGAGTAAACAAAACAAACAATAAATTAAGAGTAGTGCTGAACTGTTTAAGAGAGAGATGCTTCGATTATGACGGAGATTTGGATGATAATTTAATTTCGAAATAAACAGTAAAAAATAAGTACTACAAATAGTTATCAGTGGATCAAACCAAGTCTTAATATTAACATATATATATATATATATATATATATATATATATATGACTTTATTTGCAACATATATTTAAATGCTTTTAATATCAATCACAATGATGGTTCAGTTCACGTACTGAATTGGATTCAAGCAAATTTTGTAGATAAATGGGGAAAATCTTCATCACGAACCTACATCAGTGGAAGTGCTATGGGAAACCAGAACGTATTTTCTAGTAATTACTCATGATCTAACATAAACTCGGACCTAAAATCTTCAAAACCATTACCAAAGCATGATCCCATTCAACCAATGAGTTAGAATCCAATTTTTAACGCCACAAAGACCAACAACTGAACAGAAGTCATATATGTGGTTAATTGATGCAGGCAAAGTCGACACTAGACAACACATCACTATTATTCATAAAGTGGACAGAAGAACAGGTGGCCTGAGGGACTGCTAAAACGTTTTGTCCTAAGTATAATAGAGACCCTGTAATGAAGGAAAATGCAGGTGGAGACAATCAGTGCAAAATTACAGATCTTGTTAAAATATGAGAACCATACTCTGAATACATCGTTTCCATCATGTCCTCAACATGCTGTAGAACTCTTTCAGTTCACAATTCCTTTCTAATCTCCAGTCTATTCTCTTCAACTCAATCTTCTTAGCCTTCTGCTACCAAGTTTTCCACTTCCGACAGGTGTTACATACTACTTGTGTCGGCAGACATAAGTAGCATATACCATAACCCCATCTTGTTATTTTATTTACAAATAAAAGAGAATATTCCTAATGATTCACTCTAATTAGTTGTCATAGATATGGTCATCTGTCTATCATCACAAAAATTCAAACAGATCATATATTTTTAGTGGACTTATTCAATATTATGTTTAGACTAGACATGTGGGAACTCCCAATACTCACGAATCGATTGTAATTATCAAGTTTTAATTTCGTTAGTTAACATTTAACCTATAATAACTTTTAATTAAAGTTTAGTCCGAATCCAACGTTTTGTGTATGAATTGGTTAGCTCAGTGACCAATCCTTTTACTTTGTTATACAATTATTCGTGTCGGGAAGTTGTTGTTAATAATTTAGTTCTCATAAATAAACGCCCACAGTTTGCTTCAATGCAAATTTATGTTTCTTCAGATTTTATATTTTCCAATTCATATAACAAGTATTTCGAGTTTCAAAAATTGTGCTGATCATATGTAAGGATATTATTATGAAGAAATTAAATGACAACGTACAATCAATAAATAAATGAACAATCATAACACATGATAAGAGAAACAACTCAGTTGAAGAGAAATACTTAACTCAGTTATGAAGTTGTTACTGCTTCTCTTGTCTTCGTCTATTTAATTTCCAGACTTAATACTTTTACTTTCTCGTTCGTCTGTTGTTCACACATATGTATAAAAGGTAATTGCATAAAACACTTCAGTATTTTACGAATAAACGTGATTAAGTCTATCAGTATACATGAAGTTAATGGTTGAACCATATTTTCTCATTCCACGTTGATATTGGAGTGAACTATAGGGGATTAGCATCATTGTAGTTGATAAAAAATCGACTTGTAGTAGAATGAATTCATTTTACTCGGTAAATATTGTTGTTCTTTCTTTTTATTTTCTCAATGATTTATACAAAATAGAGAAGAACGTGTTGTTCAGTTGACTAGAAATGAACCTTTCGAAAAATATTCAATTTATTTTAGCAAAAAATCACTGAGTCATAAAACTGGAAATATAAACGAGCAAAATATATGTACAACAATCAGAATTATTATTTATGAAAATAAACATTGACTAAGCACACAAACAGGGAAGTCACTGGATAAAAACACAATTATTTAGTCATTAGACAAATAAGCACAAAGATTTATCCAGTTAACAAGCATAGTAATGACTGAAAAATGAATTAGTTTACCATACATTACATAAAGTTTCAGTGGAACTGTAAAAAAATAACAATCCTATTCAGAGGAGATTAGGAAACCTAATAAAAGCTGGATATCTTACAAGTGTGGATACAAATATTCAATGTAGGAGTCAGAGGGTGCTACCATGACTGTATGATTAATTTTAATGTAAACAGATTTATTGTCACATCACGGTCTAATTTATAGGCCAAAGTACACGAAAAAACCGATTTATCTTACAAGCCGTCGTTACTACATTAAGTCTATTCAGTAAATCAACTCATGGGTAAAATGAAAGTTAAGAAAGGAAGACAGTAAAACACTTTCATGTTATAAGAATCAAATCTGGAAAACTATGAACATTACTTCAGTTATAAATAGAACATTCTTAACTAGATATATTTCTTAAAAAGTCTCAAACATGAAATAGCTAACTTCCTTGTAATTTACATCGTGAACTTATTGACTAGATAACCACTGGACATTCGTTTCGTCCTAGTATAATACTTCGCAGAGCCAAACATCCACGACCCAAAATCCGACCGGACCTAGAACCTTCAAGACAAATCAGCTACTCGCTGTGTTCTGGTTTTCATTGGCTGTCTGGATTAGATCAATTTATGATGCCAATTATGGAATTTCATAAACTCGCCGAACCCTTATAGTAACAACTAAGTTGTTTTAACCCCCATGAGACCTGAAAAGTAACTAAATTGTTTTGAGATTGGCAAATACCTAATTTCATTAGAGATATTGTGAGGGTGGTTAGATCTGGAACTCCCTGTGATCAAATCCTTAAACGTTAGCTTGTCATATTGCTGAAAACGCCCCGCTGATCAAGATACATCATGGACTATACACTTACGTCTGTACTAGGTAGACCAAGCTTATGAGATAAATGTAACCATTTAGTACCTACGCGATCGGATTTAAGACCAGTAAACGTAATTTAAGCAGCAACCTCCCCCACAGCTTGCGTTCCAAACCTCTTAAAGCACGTGTAACCTAAGAGAGGGGACAATGCTCATTTAACCAGTAAACGACTAATATGCAGTGATTCTCCACATAATCTTATAGATATAATTATCCTTAAAACTGTACACTTACAAATTCGTTGTACCAGACCATTGCAAATGTTTTTGGTCAAACTTCTTTACAGTTTCCCTGAGTTGTGATAAGAATACTAGTCTCCTACCATCCTCCTTACTGAGTGCACACAACCACACTTACCTGATCGTACACAAAAAACTACTTACGCAACCATAACGGTTAATAGGCATGCGACGAGCCGATAGTACCTCATATTGGAGTAACCGTACGCTGGGCTGAACAAAGTTACATAATATAATTATCTCAAAAACGCACACGAGAAGACAGATTCAGTATGGATTTTCGCCGTCTGTAGTAACATGGGCATAAGGCTACACCGACCAATAGGATAGGATGTTGTGAGGAACATGAAGGCTGACCCACTTTACCACTAGAAATCTACCATGGTGTTAGCCCTGCTCCAGGTCATCGCCTGATGCTCTAACAGATAGAACCCCACCAACTTATTGGTACTTGCTCATTTAGTGCGAGACCCGTGAAACTAGTGCCGCGAGGACAACTTCAAACTGGTCGCAAATGTCTCAGGAAAACTAGGCAGCTTATTACCATTGGAAAGTCGTTCACCAAGCCGGATCCAACAGTTACATATAAGGAAATAGCATCAAAATACGACTAACCACTTGTATTAAGGTTTCGCGCAATATGGACTGAGCCCCAAGTCTTCCACCATAACAAAATGCACTGTATGCAGCAAATCACCTGCCATTGGCGAATAGCATCCCTTGAAATCTTAAATGTCGAGAAATAATAGTTATACGACCAACACCAACCGAACTCATGTAAGTGCGCCTAGCCTCGAAAGACCCCTTAAGAGCGACTTATGTTCGACAGATTCCGAGGATACCGTCGATGACCTGCACCAAGTGTAGCAGAGCCGGATGGCAACATCCTTGAAGTGACTAGAGAATCAAGGCCAACTAGATGGGTGTACGAGAGCTCATTGACTTTGATTCAAAGTAACAATCCATTTAAATACTCAATGAACACATGGAACTATGTAGTCGAGTACCTCAGTTTACCTATAACGTAATAAGCTAACACTGTTCGACTGTGCATAGCTCCGACCGAATTTACAATCTACCTTGTCTGGAACTTCGAACCAAAATTAGCTTATGATTTAAGCAGATAGCTCCTGACGGAAGAACATAGGCTGATGAATAATTGCATTTGAAATATAGACAGAAGAAACAATGTACAGGTAAATACAAATTATCGGTCTTCCATGTAGCTGGATATTTCCATGACGTCAGGAAGCTCGCTGATATTGACTTCAAAACGGTTTTGTACTTCATTGAGGACCTTTGCGTCGACTTCATCTGATATGAAGGTTATGGCTAACCCTTTAGTTCCAAAGCGACCAGCTCGGGCAACCTAAAGCAGAATTACTTTACTTTTGAACTGCTAACATACTCTGTGCAGGTAGGTGTCGGAATCTTCTGGCATATCGTAGTTGAAGACGATGTTGACACGTTCAATGTCCATACCTCGACCGAAGAGATTGGTAGCCACCAGTAGACGTTTCTGAAAGTTCTTAAATGCTTGGTAGCGTTCCAAACGTTCTTCCTGAGCCATATTACGGTGCATTGCAATCGCAGGGAAGTTTTGGTCGACCAGCAACTGAGCCAAAGCCATGCATCGTTGAACGGACTTGACGAATATTATAACCTATGGCAACATGGACAATGTTAGAGGGAATTTCAGAAGAAAAAGCACTTAAACGCATATGACCAGGCATTAGCCCACATCAGTATTAGCATGGCAAACATCATTTCAAAAGCTTACCTGGTTGAACTGCAGTTCATCAAGAAGCTCAAAGAGCTTCCTGTTTTTCTCGTTTTCCTTGACTTTAACATAATGCTGCCGTAGACCATGCAAAGTCAACTTTGAATCATTTTCGATAAATATTTCCAACGGCTAAAAACAAAAACGTAGTAAGTGCCGAGTAGGCGCTAATGAGAAACCACGGGCGTTATACATGGACAAAACATTAATCATTAAGAAATAGTCAAACTGCCTGCTTTTTGATTCTCCACCTGGCCCATACGAATGCGTTTGGCAAGCAAATGCGAACCACATCCAAGCGACCATCTGCCATGCTCCAAGGTCAAACGCTGAGTCCTCGAACGTTCCAGAGCAAATGCTAGCTGATACGCTCAGTTATTAAGGACTAATCACATCAAAATTGTACTTGGCACGGATGATCTAAGTCATCTTGGCGAACGCAAAACCAGCTCAGGTGGGAATGGGAATGGAAATAAGACAACTCCGCCAGACATTGCAACAACGTACGTCTTGCATGAAGTTTCTGCAAACAGGACGAATTTCTTTGCTCATGGTTGCGCTGAACATCATGACTTGTTTTTGATGTGGAGTCATGCGGAATATTTCTTGAACATCACGCCGCATATCTAATGAAAGTAAGCTGAGTATCATATACTTACCGAGCGTATCCAGCATTTTATCACATTCATCAATAATGAAGTGTTTGACATGTTGTAGTTTCAACGTTTTGCTTCTCACTAAGTCCAGAATACGACCAGGAGTTCCCACAACGATGTGGACGGGAGATTTTGTTAGCGTTTCAATATCCTTACGTATTGGCATCCCTCCAAAAAAAACACCCACCTTGGAGGTAAATTGTAGTACTCACTTCTTACCTTTATCTTCGGCATGTATTTAGAGAACCTTTCGTATTCTTTACTTATTTGGAAGGCAAGTTCTCTTGTGTGACAGAGGACTAGGACAGTTGTATTGGCTTCTCCTTCGGGATCGAGCTGTTGTAGTGTAGCTATGACGAACACTGCAGTCTTGCCCATTCCAGACTTTGCTTGGCACAGTACGTCCATGCTTAAAATGGCTTGAGGTATACATTCATGTTGAACTTCAGATGGATGTTCGAAGCCACAATCAACGATGGCTCTTAATAATTCCGGCTTGAGGATGAAATCACGAAACCCTGAACTGTGTATGGTGACGTATGCTCCTTTGACACCTTTCTTTGCTGTGGCTTCTCCATTAGGTCTTGCCTCTTGAACTGTTTCTTGTTCTTCATCTTCGTAATCCAAAAGCTCAGCTTCGTCGGCCATAAGACTACCGTACCAGAATGGGTCAAACGAGTAGGACAAAAATGGCGAAGGTACAACCACCTAAACAACAGATATAATGAGCATTGTACATGACAGTAACTTCAAACTTTCCTATATATGTATTTGTAAGAAAGATATAGAAGGATATAATTCTAATGCTTTTTTTCTAGATTTTTGAATGAATGTGTGGTTAAGTATTATACCAGGATTAACGCCCCTCAAAATGGTTCAATTGGCTGTGGAGGAACAGAAGAGGATTTCGCTTAATGGGCTTTCATATCTAGTGGCATGTGGTCACTGATGCCTCCGAGTAGGAGCCTAGGTATATTTAACGACGAAAAGGAAAATATTGGTAAATTCTGGTGAGATGTTGTTTCAAGCCCCTGAGAATGTCACGTTTTCTCTTAAAAGGACTCTTCCTGCCCCAGCTGGAAGCGACTTCGGAAATTTGACTTTTCGTAAGGAAAAAAAGGTGTCCCAACAGTCCTTTCTACCATAATGTTTCTAATTTTTGGGATTTACCCATGATGTTTGTGTTGAGACCGAACTTAAGTAGGTGTTTAAGGTGATGCCTAGAGGAGTCAAGATGCTGTAAGTCGTCAGAAGGTCTAATCTAAGACGCCTACCCTCTAATGAGTGAAGGTTCAGCGATTTAAGGCACTCTTCATAAGGCTTGAATTTGAATCCCCAAAATGATTTCGTGGCTAGCCGTTGGATATGTTACAGTGCATTTCTATCCTTTTAAAGCGAGGGAGGAAACACGATATTATCATACCATAAAATGGGGTTGAATAAAACTATTGAAGGTTAGATGCAAAGTTCTTCCGTCGGAATGGCTGAAAATGCATTTCAACGTTATCAGTGCAATATTTGCTCGCAAGGCAGTTTTGTTGCAGTTAGCGTAAGACTTCAGATCATAGGGTACCAACGCTCCCAGATTTTCTTCAACTTGGTATACCTTCAGAGGGAGGTTACCCGAATTGTATTTGTGGTCTGTAACACGTCTGAGACGGACTACTTCACACTTTGAAGTGTTTAAGGTAAATCTGTTGTTGTCTTTTCAACTTTGCAGTTGAGTCAGATCCTCCTGAAGTGCCATCTTTTATTATCTTGGTTGTAAACTCCTCTCGTAAGTTCCACATTGTCGGCGAAAAGTAATGCATCAGCTCGGAGTTTAAAGGTTATTTGCATAAATTAAGAAAAGAAGTATTAGTAGTAAAGTCTGAGGAACCTCACTAGGACATCATGTAGCCTGAGAAGAAGTGAAGTCTACCCTGACCATAAGAAATCGATTGTTTAGGTGTGAGGTAAGCCAATCACTCAAAGGTATACTGTTACCTAACCTTTAGGGCTTGTTAATGAGGCAAATATGATTGACTTATCAAAAGTGTTCGGGAAGTCATGGTGTGCGACGTCAACCTTCCTCTTGTGCATCTGTCGAGTGCGGTCAGCAGATCGATTACGTGGAAGTGAGCCTTATTGAAACCGTGCTGTTGGAGTGGAAATGAGTTTATGAATAGTAAGTAGTCACGCCGACCTCCTCTGAAAATTTCTGTAATGTGAGCCAGCTTCCAATTTTCTGGTAACCTGACTCGGCTTAGCGAATGTTAGAACAACACGCTAGGCGGTGTCGTCAAGATTGAAGCTGCTTCCCTCAGTATAACAGAATGGACCGTATTCGGACTACGCTGAGCGTCCTTGTTTAAATGTTGCAGCTTCCGATACACCATTACAGCGCTCGGGTTCATTTCTTGGAGTTCTGTTGACATGTAGGTAAAGCTCTCATCAATATAGTCAGTATGGGTCTGTTGAAATGTCCGGGGTAATGTTCTGTGAGGAGGTCGGCGGTGTCACCGTGGTTGTTAGTTAGGACATTAAGACTTAGCAGTTGAAGAACTCCGATTCTGACTGTATGTTGCTTGTGATGTTTGAGGACTGTTTGAGAGACAGACGGTTTTATAGTACGTAGTATCAAGTGCTGTATGAAACCACAGTGAACATCCATGGCAAACTGATGGTGAACATTTTACTTCATTCGCTGCAGATTGTCCTGTTAAGCTCACACCTTCGACTGTTTGGAATTCCAGAGCCTGTTTTCGGTAGGATGTCTTAGCTCAAATTTGCTGACGAAACTGAATGCTATGACGTCGTGATTGCTTTTCCTCATATGAGTCAGGATTGAAAGTTCGTCAACTAGAAATTCGGTTGGATGGAACTCGTCACTATGCATCAGCGTAGATGGAAGAAAATCATCAAGATAATCCAGAATTCACACAACGGACTACACTGCAAAGTCCTGCATGGAGGACAGCTGAAAGATGCTTTCCAAATGACGACTGACGTCAGACGAGTCTGCTTTCTCTCCCTTCTAGTGGTTAAGTGGGTTATGAAGACCTCCACATCTGAAGTGAAGCACGGGATAAAATGGACAGGTTGGACGCAACTAGACGATTCGGACTTCACAGATGAACTGGCCCTCCTATCTCATACACACCAATAAATGTAAGTCAAGACAGTGTGGCAGCAGCTTTCGCATCAGTAGGCCTCAACATGCACAATGGAAAAAGTAAGATCCTCAAATACAATACAGAGCATACCGACTCAATTACACTTGATTGAGAAAATCTTGATCAGGGAGAAACTTCTCCATACTTGAACAGCATCATCGATGAGCGAGAAGGATCTGATATAGACGAAAAGGGAAGGACTGATAAATCAAGAGCATAATTCCTACAGTTGAAGAACGTATGCAATTCAAAACAACTGTCGACCAAAATTTATGTTAGAATCTTCAATACAAACGTCAAGACAGTCCTACAGTTCGCAGCTGAAAGTTGGAGAACTACCACAACTATCATCAAAAAGTATAGGTATTTCTAAACAATCATCTACGTATGATACTGGATGTCCGTTGATCGGATACCATCAGCGTCAGCCCACTGTAAAAGAGAATAAACCAGCCTCTAGCAGAAAAGGAAATTAGAAAACGCGCTGAATGTGGATGAGGACATACATTATGGAAATTACCAGACTGCATCACGAAGCAAGCCATAACTCCGAATCGTGAATGGAAACGGAAAAGAAGAAGGTTAAAGAACTTACTGCGTCGATAATTGGAAGCAGATATGAAAAGAATGAACAGCAACTGGAAAGGATTGCTCAGGACAGAGTTGGATGGCGAATGCTGGTGAGCGGCCTATGCTCCTCCATGAGGGGTACAGTTGTGAGTAAGTAAGTAGGTAATTAATGCATTGGCCTCCGACATCTTACCACCCTAATAGATATTCTAAGGTTCTCCATATTTCCGTCTATTCAGTTTTCGAATCGGTTAAGCATGTTCTTTATATTTTCTGATGGTGCATTCTATATGACATACTCAGCCAACTGTCGATCGTATATACGCAGTCTGTTTGCTCATTGTTTTTTCACTCATACATTCCACAGGTGAAAAGATGCAACTCGAACGCTCGATCTTTTCAAAATTAAAACACGGCAAGGTTGCACAGCTCACCTGTAGCCAGGGCATAGGCATGTAAGCCAACCAAGACCCCGTGTTAAGTTTAATATTGCTAACATTGTGGACGACGTTTTTACTTTCACTTATTGTCTGAAATCTAAGGCTGATGCGAGAATATTGTTAGATATACCATGTTCTTAAAAATGTTGAATAGGGAAACTCTTGGAACATTACAGTAACACTGACTAATTTATCTCCACATAACAATATGTTACACGAGTCACGTCAGTTAACGGGCAAGACCAAAATGTTCCGAGCTTTCTGAGGTTTATTGTAATGAATTACCCGGACCGGTACGCAGCATGATATAGAAACAGGGTACATAAGGATATGACCAGTGTTGTGACTAATAGTAATGAACATCGGGTGCATGTCATTCTTGCATGCTCTGTGGTGCATGTTACTTATGTCGACAGGTATAAATAGTATCTAGTAGCGATCGAAAGTGAGAAACCTGGCAGCAGAAAACTGGGGGGGGTAGAATAGAAGAGAGTAATTAATATGAAAATGAAGAAACAATAAAGTTTGAGACAGTTAATGGACATTTTGTAAATGAAGGATTCTACGTATGGTTTTCACATTTTACTAAATATCTTTAATTTTGTGTTAAAATACATGTGGTCGTCTCCACTTGTGCTTTCGTTCATTACAGCATAATTAACAGCTTAAAACATGCGTCTACAAATAAGATATTACCCAAGTGAGGTTATTAAATACATAGGGACAGTGAAATCTTTTGATATAGCATTCATGACGATAAACCATGAAGTTAATAAATAGGTCTGTGTGTTGGTGCCGTACTTTAAGTTTACAGTTGCCACAATCTATTTAAAAAATGGCACGTGTTACGAAATGTAACCTTGGTGGACACCTGACCGTTTCAAATTACACCTCTGCATGTTATGTTCGCGGCTGTGAAGAGAAGACAAGTAACAGAAAGAGAAACTAAATGCTGTTGATAAAATTAGTTTTCTCACAATGAGAGAGGTTAAGATGTGACCATTAGCAAATAAAACTCAAGCTAATCAACAAGGGAACTTCAGACAAACTACGAGAAAAAAACGCAGTGTACGAAGAATTGTACGGAAAAACAGGCCTAAGTCAGTAAAAAAGTTGAAGGACAAAGTGAGAAGTTTATTGATATCAAAAAACGAATGATAACGTAAATTGTCTGAACTTCCACGTGGCTTTATCACCATAGCTTTTATTCATTTGGTGCTCTTTCTACTGTTGTCATCGAATGCCAACTTTCAGGTACGTTCTTGAGAATCTGAGGATGCATGTGATAGGTCGACTTGATACAACCAACTTAAGGTGAAAAACACAAGTCTGAGAAGCAACAAACATAGGAACACAATCTCAATATCACTGAATGGTTGCGTCGTTACCATTCATAGATAGCTGAAGACAAGAGGAACGCAGTCGTACAAGGGAAATCTGGAGATGTTACTCTCAAAGAAGCACTTCATGACACCTAAAGGCGTATTCTCGTGAGGAAATCTTTGAGGCTTAAAAACATTCTAACTTAAAGTGGCTCGGGTGGTCCTAAAGGACCGTGATTG